TTCTCCATAGCTAGTATTGGTATGGCTAAGCTTAAAAATGATTTCTTGTGATTTCATATCCAGTGTTCTTTCATCTGCTATTGCTTTTCATTTCTACATCATATAATGAGCTATTGGATTTTTTTTTTTTCATATCTGGATTCTGGGTTACTAAAAGTACTAGAAACATTTACTTAAAATAAATAGAATACCAGCTATACTTTTAAAAACACCTTATCTCATTTTTCCCATCGCAAATCTTATTGACAACTATATTTAAGACCTTATCTTCATTGGAATTCAATTAATATAGTTACAGATAGGGAAACTATGTTGGCTGTGGATTTAAAGGACTTAGGATCAAGTCTTAACTCCATCATTGTTGTGTAACCCTGAGGAAGTCACTTTACCTTCTTGAACCTGTAAGATGGGGTTGGTAAAATCCCTCTTACTATACTTGTGAGAATTAAATGAAATCAAATATGTGAGTGTGCCTTGCTCATTCTCAGACTCCATAGCTCAAAGATTTAGTTAGTAAAGAGAAACATACAATCCAGGGCTCAGTGCTAATTGTGGTAGGAACCATTTGAATTTAAATTTGAAAAGTAGCTTTTTATGGGCTTATGGAGTGCTATTCAGTGGGGAAAATCTCTCTCTCTTTATATAAAGAGGTAATATGCTAATTGTCCTTTACGTTGTCCCAGTAACAACCAACTTGCATATTGATGTGTGTGCAGCAGGGGGTGGGCGGCTGGAGCCAAGTTCCCTGAAGTCTGAGGAGAGTGCCTGACAGGAGCCCAGACTGCAAAGAAGGAAGAGAAAGCAGCCATTGGGTGCTCTTCTAATCCCCTTGCATGGCCACCCTAATCCCGCCCCCGCACTTCCCTGGGGGATGGAGAGGCTGATTGGACAGGGAGAAGACCCAGCCTGGGGGGCGCAGCTGCAGCCTGCATCTCTGACTCCCCATCTCTTCCCCTGCCACCTCTGCCAGGGGGGCCTACAACAATAGTAAGCCAGTGACCACCCATCAGTGCTCCTGAGGCACCTAGGGCCTGCAGCTTGCCACTGCTGGGCCCCCTCTGCCTCTCCTTCCTACAACTCCAGACCCAGGTGGAGGCAGAACTGAGAGGTCCTCCAGGTTCAGATCCTTCCCCTGACAGCAGCAGAAGGGTGGTGAACCTCTGTGGGAGCACAGCTAAACCTGCCCTCCTAGCCTGCCTGGCTCCACCCTGGCCTGGCCCCTTCCCCACTCCAGGAGATTGGAGCCCCACCCTGAGCAGGTTCAGCTGTGCAACAGCCACATACATTAAAGAATGGCGCCAGGTGGGAAGGTTTGACAGTTACTCTCCTTTGGCCTCGCCACCCCCCTAGCATCCTCTAACTACTTTGTCCCCTTCTAGCATCTCCAAGGATGACCACTGCTACAGGGCTGCTGGCCAGAGCCCACCCCTCCAAGGCCTGCACAGCTTCTATAGCCACTCTCCCAGGACACAATCATGCCCTCCTCCCCTATTCAGCACCTGCCACCTGCAAGGGCACCCGTGGGCTTAAAAATAACAATCCCTTCCGGTTTAGACATCATTTACTTGAAACATTCCTGGGTTTATTAGCTCAGAACCTCCTCATGACAACCCAGTGAGGCAGGTGGAGAAGAGATTACAGTTCCCTTGGTATATGCGTGTGTATTCAGAAATGAAGCTCAGAGAGGAAAAGTGTCAAGCCCAGTGGCTCCCAAGGTGCAGCACACACCCCACAGGGGGGGAAGGGCAATTTGATTTTAAGTGGGGGCAATTAGAGAATGAGTTAACAGTGAAATTTTTGCATTTCTTATAGTTCTAGGGGCCTCATCTATAGCGCATCCTACATAATAAAAGGCTAATATGCAAATTATGTAATGGTGGAATGACTGGTCACTATGATGCATGCTGACCACCAGGGGGCAGACACTCAATGCAAGAGCTTCCCCCTGGTGGTCAGTGTGCTCCCACAGTGGGAGTGCCACTAAGCCAGAAGCTGGGCTCATGGCTGGGAAGCACAGCAGCAGTGGTGGGGGCGTCTTCCAACTCCGTAGCAATACTAAGGATGTCCAACTGACAGCTTAGGCCACTAAGCCATCAGCTGGACATCCCTCCAGGGCTCCCAAACTGCGAGAGGGCACAGGCCAGGCTGTGGGACCCCCAAGTGCACAAATTTTGTGCACTGGGCCTCTAGTACTAAATATCCTAGCTAATAAAGAGGAATATGCTAATTGACCCTCACACTGTCGCAAAGATGATGGTGCCCACAGCCAATAAGGAAGGAATATGCTAATTGACTGCCACACCCTCAAAGATGGTGACACCCACAGCCACAAGATGATGGTGCCCAGTCTCCTCAGCCTGCCAGGGTGGCAGGCACACAGCAAGGCAAAGCCCTCCCCAAGGTGGGCCCAGCTGCTCCACGTGCCTGCTTCCAGAATCCCCCAGTCCCCTCAGCCCCCCAGCTGCCCAGGGCTTGCCTGAGGTGCAGGGGGGGGGGGCGCCCAGCTTTGCCGTGGGCCTACCTCCAGAGTGCCCCATCCCCTCTTCCCCCAGCCACCCAGGGCTGGCCTGAGGCACAGACAGGCCTTGGATGGCAGCTGCCCAGATGCCCAGGGCCACCTAAGGCTTAGGTAACCAGGGCCAGCCAAGGCTTGCGCTGCTGGCAGTGGCAGCAGCAGAGGTGTGATGGGCATCGCCTTTCCCTGATCGCCTGGTCACTTCCCGCTCCTGAGGGCTCCTGGACTGTGTGAGGGGGCAGGCTGGGCTGAGGGACCCCCCTTGAGTGCATGAATTTTCATGCACGGTGCCTGTTAGTGAGAGAATAAAAATCAATCATAATTATGTTGACCGATGTCACCCCAATAAAATTTAATAAACAAACAAACAAACAAATAAATAAAGTCATAATTATATCACTCGTATCACAACTTCTCTTTTGCTTATATGATTTCAGTATGCTTTTTGAACACACAAGCACACATTTTTATAAAAGAAGATTGTGTATGTTAAGTTGTACTTGTTTTTTTCATATGAGAGCATATCTGGACACTTTGTCTTATTATTACACATTTTTCTTCTTTTATAATATTGTAATGACTATAAAGCACATAATAATGTAATGTAGCATATTTTAAAATTTAAATTTCAGTGCCATCTATAAGTTTGGTGTTTAAGCTTATTGAATCGTCAAATCAAAATTATGCATGACTTTCCATGTATTCTGAAAAGGTGATTCCCCCCCCCCTTTAGTATATAGCTTGGTTATTACTTTTAGACTATCTCAGTATAGTATTTATTGTAAAATAGAATTGTTCTGCAAGAATTTTGAATTTTGATGAGGTTGTACTTATACATGTTTAAGAAACCATTCTCTGCACTTTGTCATATAGATTTCCCCTATATTTTATGGTTCTGTACCAAAATGTTATTGGCTTCTTGAGTTGTAGCATAATTTTGTTTCACTGAGATTTAGAGATTTGAAAGCATGTGAATATCTTTTATAAACTTGGTACACACCAAATAAATTACAGCTCACAAATTCTGCCCTGAAATTCAACAAGGTCTAACTTTGAAGTGTCTCTGTTATTGAATAAACAAAGTCAAATTACATCTTTTTACAGAGTGAAAAACATGCTCAAAATGTTAGGTTCTATTTTCATATGCATGGAAAACAAAATGAAGTGCCTAGTAAAAAAATGAAGATGGATGTTAGAGATTTTCAGGTGAGTGATCTATGTTGATATAATTCTAAACTTTGAGTTATTGAATCTTTTTAATAAGATTGTGCTTATTTCAGGTGCATAAGACTGAAGTAGTGGACAGAAACAAATTTTGTGATATCTGCAACATGATTTTTAGCTCTCCAGTTGTTGCTCAGTCTCACTATGTGGGAAAAGTCCATACTAAAAAATTGAAGCAATTGATGGAGGAGCATGATCAGGTATCTAGATCAGGATTTCAGCCAAAGATGGGTAAGATTACATTTACTTCTTTAGCTTCAATACAGGATCTCTCTATCATTTCCCTCCAACTCTGTCATCCATTTTCTTTTACAAAGAAACTTTCACCTCAGGACAATATATTGATGATTCCCCTTCTTCCTCTCTCCCTCCTTTCCTTCTTCTCCTCCCCCTCCTCCTCTTCTTCCTCCCCCTCTCCTCCCCCCTTCCCCTTCTCTTTCCTCTTCCCCTTCCCCTCTCCTCCTTCTCCTTCTTCCCAGTTAATCACTTTCTGTGTTCTTATAATTTACTATAGAGATTATAATTGTTAGTTGAATTTTAGGAAATATTATGACCTTTTCAGTTTATTGAATTCAAAAGCAGGCGATTTGCTATGCCTGCCATAAAGAAACAATAACCAGCATGAATTCTTCACTTTCTAATAAAATCATAAAATCTTAACTTCTTACTTCTTCCCTTTGGCATCTATCTCATTCTTTTTTAAAAAAAAATTTGGTACTTTCCAGAACATCATCTCATGTGTGGGTTCAGACCCCATAATATAGCTATGATGCAGCATGTCCTGACTACAACTGTAGGTAAAAAAATAAGTAAGTTATAGAATCTCCTTTTACCCTGAGAGCTCATTTCTTCCTTCCTAAGAATATAAAGAAAAAAATAATCAATCAATAGTTATTAAGTACCTATTTTTATGCTAGACCCTAAAGATACAGTCAACTATAAAACATTGCCTCTTTCTTCCTTCCAGTGATGTTGGGTCACAAGAATATGAGAGATACCACCCAAACTTCTCATTTCTGGCCTGAGGTGGCAAAGTACACCCTGGAAAACCTAACTAGTACTTTGAAAAATTTGTGTGCTAGAACAAAAAATGAGACGATTAATCCTCTGAATAAATAATTTACCACATTTTCACTAGCTTCAACATTTTAAGGATATGGCATGCCTGGCATGGAAAATTTACCAACATTAATTTCCAATTGATAGTGTAGGCCTCATACAGAATTAAAACATATTCTCTTAATTAACTCAGAATTATTTTAAAATTTATTCTAGTATCTCTAATTTTTGTTTTTCTGTCTGTCAGCCTAAAAAGGGCCAGAACCAGTGTGACCTACAAAAGAAAGCATCTTCTAAAGCTTTATCTTCAGTTTCCCAAACACATCAATTTGGTCTCAGAGGAGACCAAATGAAAGAGCTCTGAAATTACTATAATTGTGAAAGTATATAATTTTATAGCCTTAAACACCTGCATACATTTTATTTTGATACAGACATAGCAAATCTGGACTGAGTAGACGACTTACTCTGCTACTCAGGGACCCCAACTTAGTATTTATACCATCTGTTTTTCCCTCACTAATTTCAAGAACCACCCTAAGACAGCTCTCCTGGTTTCATTGATTTTTCTCCCCTAATTAATGTAATTAGTCAATGCCTTTCCTGTATCTTTATTGGAGAAACTTGGTGACTGATTTGTATTCAACTTTCCTTTCTCACAGAAGGCAATTATTTTTAACCTGAATGTGAAAAAAAGTGGGTTTTAAAAGCATTCTAAATTTCCATAATACTTTATAATCAATGTAGCTCTGGTAGCTAAACACATGTTGATCCCTTCTCATTATGACTATTTCAGCAGGTGTGCCTATTACTACTTCTGCAGAATCAACATTTCTGAAGCCCCTTGCAGTCAAGCCTCCTTCAGGTGGGATTAAAGATAAGACTATGGCCTTACTCTGCCAGCACTGATTTGGATTTGAATAATCCAAACAAGTATTGCAAACTCTGCTCTGCTCTGCTTCTTTTGATAGCCTATTAATGGCCCAACAACATTATATTGGGACAAAACACAAAAGAAATGAAGCTAGAAAGATGTAGAAAATATAAAAGAGAAACCTTTTCTGTCAAAATCGGATGCAAATGGTAAACAGTAAAAATATCACAAAAATGTCATAGAAGGTTTGTATTTTTAATCACAAACTACTGGCTTGTGTAGATACAATTTTACTCTTATTGAGTAGGAGGTTTGATAGTACTAATGGGATCGTATATTTTTAGGTAAGTAAGGACTTAGAGTCTATCTGTTTCTGTTTGTTGGTTTTCCAGAAAAAATGAGACCCAGAAAGTTTTAAATGACCCTTATTAATTACAGAATCAAATATAGGTATTTTCATGGCCCCTTGTTATATCATAAGTACATAAGGAAGTATTTTAAATTAGTATTGTGTGGTTTTAACATTTATTCATGTTTTAAGTGTCTCTTGGAAATACAAATGAGGATGGATATACTATTTTCCCAGAGTAAGTGTATAAACTAGTTAGGTTAGTAATATTTAGTTGCAAGTGGCCACAGACATGGATTTATGCACATATTTATGGAGGAGTGAAACATCATGGTTGAAAAATCTTCTTAGAGGAAATACATGATTTAGATTGGTAGGAGTGGAAAGGAGAAAGGATGAACAAATGTGCTAAGAGTGTTAAGAATTCAGGCCACATATGTAATAACTTAATCAATAAAGAAATCATTAAAAAAGAATCCAGGCACAAATAAAAATTCTGATCCTGACTGGAGTGATCTACTTGCTCTTCTAACCTTGCTTTTTTTCCCTTTCATTTTACCCCCATAGGCACCTTATAACTATTTGTATATTTTATTTCCTTTTCATATTTTTTCTTCCACCTATGTCTTTCCCTCCACTCACTGTTATTTTTAAGTCTTTCCTTACTATAACTTTCCTGCTTCATATGAAAATGTCCATTACTTTCTTCTTAAAGCTCTATTCTTTTGTCATATGTTACTCCTATGCTCTGGTTCTTCTCCTGTGATTCTACTTCTTTTTGTAGATATTTCCATCGTTCCATTCTTGACCTTACTCTACAAACATGACCTAATCTACTCTCTGATTTCGTCTCTCATCTGTATGCTTATGACTTTTCTGTCAAGCTTTAGACTCATAGATCCAAATGGCAGCTGTCACTTCCCCTGGATACCTTATAGCACATGTGTCAAACACAAGGCCCGCGGGCCAAATCCGTCCCGCCAGGCCTTGCAATGTGGCCCGCACTGCGCTGTCATCACTGCACTCCGCTGCGTTTCCATCACAATGACAGTTTATGACTGTTCAGTAAACCATTCGGCCCGCGATTTAGCCTGGATTTTAGATTTTGGCCCCTTCTCTGATTGAGTTCGACACCCCTACCTTATAGCTATTTCAAATCCACCGAGTCATTCAAACTAGAAACCTGTAATTAACTAAGAATCCCCCACACCACCATAATCACTTTCTATATCGAATGAAGCACCAAATCATGACTGTTTTACCTCCAAAATATTATGTTTTCCTTATCTTCAGCTTGTTCTTCCCATACTAGTTCAGACCCTCAACATCTTTCCTACATCTTTGCTACTCAAATTATGGTTTGTGGACAGCATCATTGGCAACACTTGAGAGCTTGGTAGAAAAAAAATTTTCAGTTCTCACTTCAGACCTACTGAATCAAAATATGCATTTTAACAAGATCCCCAGGTGATTTGTATACACAATAAATTTTGAGAAGCATTGACCAATGTTTCCCAAAGTGTGGTATGCGTACCCTCAGGGGTACGGGAAGAGTTTGGTGGGGGTACACGTTGCACCGGAGTTTGGTGGGGATATGCACTGCACAGTGCTTAGCTGCACCTAATTCTATGTTCTCATGAGTACGAGGGGTACTCAGCATTACGAAAATTATAGAAGGGGTACACATATGTCAAAAGTTTGGGAAACACTGTTCTAGACTATTGCTATAACTTCTCAACCACTCTCCCTGCTATCTGTTTTGTCTGTCCAAATCTGTCCTCAATTTAACTACTAGAATCTTATATAATATAGATATAATATGCAAATTGACCATCACTCCAACACACAAGATGGCCACCTCATGTAGTCAAAGATGGCCACTCCTATGTGGACAAAAGATGGCTGCCACAAGATGGCCTGCAGAGAGGACCGGGCCTGCAAAGGGGAACAAGCCTGCAAGGGAGGGTAGTTGGGGGGACCATGCCTGCAGGGGAGGGCAAATGGGGACAACCAGGTCGGCAAGGGAGAGCAGTTAAGGGGCAACTAGGCCAGCAGGGGAAGGCAGTTAGGGGTGACTGGGCCAGAAGGGGAGGACAGTTGGGGGTGACCAGGCCTTCAGGGGAGGGCAATAGGAAGGGACAAGGCCTGCAGGGGAGGGAAGTTGGGGGTACCAGGCCTGTGGAGGAGTATACTTAGGGGGCACCAGGCCTGCAGGGGAGGGCAGTTAGGGGTGACTAGGACAGCAGGGGAGGACAGTTGGGGTGACCAGGCCAGCAAGGGAGGGCAGTTAGGGGCAATCAGGCTGGCAGGGGAGTAGTAAGGCATCAATCAGGCTGGCAGGGGAGTGGTTAGGGGGTGATCAGGCTGGCAGGCAGAACCAATTAGGGCAATCAGGAAGGCAGGCAGGCAAGCAGTTGGGAGCCAGCAGTCCTGAATTGTGCGAGGGATATCAGACTGCTCATTTAGGCCTGATGCCAGGGTATCAGGCCTAAATGGGCAGTCGGACATCCCTTGAGGGATCCCAGATTGGACAAGGTGCAGGATGGGCTGAGGGACACACATCCCATGCACGAATTTTGTGCACTGGGCCTCTAGTATTTCACATAAAGTGTACATAATTCCATGTCATTCCTTGCTTAAAATTTCTTAATTTTTATTTTATTTTTTTTATTTTCTAAGGATAAAATCTAAGCTTCATAGCTCTTTATCATATTGTCCCTGCCTACCTTTTCAAGGCTTATCCTCTGCTACTTCCTGCCATGTTCTGCATGGGTCAGAACCTTCAAACTCTTTAAGGTTTCCAGAAATCATTACCCTATTTCTTATCTCTTTGGCCTTGTTCATGTTGCCTTTGCCTGGACATCTCCATGTCCTTCTTGTCTTGGCTAACTTGCACCCATTCTTGCATATCTAGTTATCTCTCCATGTATCTTTAGTTCCCATTAGAATGTAAGGTATTTGAAGGAAGGGACATCATTTAACTAATTTCTATTTCCAGTGGCAGAGTATGTCTACCTAAATAAAGATTAGTCTAATATATGAACCAATGAGCTATCTATTTTTATATATTGAGTGCTAACCCTGTGTTTATACTATTTGTTTCTTTCTTTTTTTAAAAAATATTTTATTGATTTTTTTTACAGAGAGGAAGGGAGAGCTAGAAACGTCGATGAGAGAGAAACATCGACCAGCTGCCTCTTGCACACCCCCCTCCGGGGATGTGCCCATAACCAATGTACATGCCCTTGACCGGAATCGAACCCGGGACCTTTCAGTCTGCAGACTGACGCTCTACCACTGAGCCAAACCGGTTTCGGCTACTTAAGTTTCTTAATGTGATTCAAATTATCTCCCAAAGTTACACAGAGATCTGTTTTTTTTTATGTAGGATTTTAAAGAATGTTTATTTAGGCAAGTGTAGAAATAGAAGTCATAGGGCTTCTGAAAGTAGATGATGTTTGGAGAAATCACAAACTTCCACTTGATAGAGGTTTTTTATTTTTTGGTATTGTTGAGCTGAGGGTATCTTAAATAACTGGCTTTTAGTTTAGTGGCATTAGGTAAAGTTGGAACTGAGTCAGCTATGAGAAGTGGGTGTACTCTGAAGGGGGAGTCATTTTAGTACTCTGAGGTCTCAGGATTATTAGAATAAGAGAAAAAAGTTTTGGATAATATTTTCATCTGTCTGAGGAAGGGTTGCTGATCAGCAGCAGAATTTAGTCCAATCATTGAAGTCATTTTACACAAGCTTCTAAAGTTAGTGCTCAAAAAAGAGATTATCAACCTTGCCTTGACTATTCTAATTTTTAGAACAGCAACTATTTGAGGCTTAAAAAATAGCTGGAGAATTTAATTTAGCAAATGAGAATTTCAAAGAACAGTAACAGCAGAAGCCTACATTATATATGAGCAAGTGGTAAGACAAAATGTTTAAAATATTGTCACTCTCCAACCATTTTCTCTATTCTTACTCTCCCTGCCTTCTTTTCCATCTGCTATTGTTCCTATGTCTTACTATATTTAATCTCCCTCTTTCTTCATCATTTTCACTGTTTCTTTATGTTCTTTACCAGCTCGGATCTTATTAGCACAGGAATGGCTACCATAATAATATGGAACTAAAGTATGTGTGTATTATTCATTTATTTATTTGTTTTGCATATCTTACTAATTTCTAGCCCCATTATTGCACATAGTTATCTCATTTTCACCTGTAACTCAACATATCTTACATTGAAATAATAATCTCCTCTAAAACCAACTTGAATTTCCCAAGTTGTCTCTCTTTGTCAGCAGTACCACTACTTGTCACCTACACTTGAATCTTTGAGGGCTTTGAATACTTAATTCTCTCTATCCGGTCCACCAGTCAGTCTTCTTAGCACTATTTCTCTTTCCTGTACCCTTCCTTTACATTCCCACTACCATCACCTCACACTTTAATGCTGCAACAACCTTCTGAAAGGCTTTACTTATATCTCATTGTTATTCTCTTATTACCTTGTAGCAGCGGGGCCGGGATGAGCGGGATCAGCATGTGGAGTTGGACTGCATGTTTCAACCCAATCTCTGTAGGCCACACCGCAGGACCCCACCAGTGTGGAAATCTGTGCACCAGGCCTCTAGTATTTACATAACTGTG